CCACCCTGGCTGGTCTGTCCAGGGGCCTGGGCCACCAGGAGCCCCTCCATGAAGTCATAAGCCAAAGGCCTGGGGTAGTAGGAGTGGGATGGGAATACTATCCTCTGCTTTCCCTGCTGTCCTTCAGCAGAACCCAGCTCTGGGCGCCCTGCCCAGAAAGGAGGGGAAGGGGAGAAACATATGCCCTTCACTTCCAAGTCCCTTGTCTTAAGCAACTTCAGCAAAACCACAGCAGCAGCAGAAATAGAAGATGAGCTGAGATGTGTCAATAGTGCTCCAGGGAGGAGGGACACTCCACTGGATTCAGACCAGCGTGTATGTGTGTGTGTTTGTGTGTGTCTATTACCAACTCTCTGAGGCTCAGCTTTTCTATCTGTTAAGCAGGCTACTCCCACCTGTACTTCCTCTCAGCTGGTGATCAGAAGATGCAAATATAATGACAAGGAATGTGAGGTCACTCACTGACACCGGGTTCTCAGCCAGGATACTATTCAGACAATTGCTCTTCTGCTGCCTGAGCAGGTGACCCCAAAGTCTGGCCTAGCTTGCAGGACTCTGCACATGAGGTCCCAGCCCAGGAAGGATGCCTGGCCCAGCCACAGCTTACTTGATATACTGAGGGACACCCTCCTTGCCCTCACACCCCCAGCCGGCCCCAATGCCTGACATACCAGAATCCCCCACTCTACCTGATCCTGGGGATCTGAAGCTCTTTCAAGGGAAAATCTCAGTTCCAACAGCTCAGACCTGGAGCCATCAACATTGTTGGTAAGCCAGTTTCACCAAAGTGTGGCCAGCCAGCTCAGCACCCTGGACAGCCACCGCCAGTGGGGTGAGTGCGTGGGGAGGAAAGGTGGCTTTAAGCATATCCTGGGGGCACCTTTCTGCTTCCTCCCATACGTCCTCCCACTGGCCCTGTGAGGTGTTGGCTTTTCTGCCACATGGTGACCAGCAGACTCATGGGTGAAGTGATCAGGTGTAGAAGCAGGTGAGATCACGCCTCTGTGAACCAGTTTCCACATGTCCCCAGGCAGCACCTGCACGCGGCCGCCATGCCCAGGCAGTCCACCCTGGGGGCCCTGGGTGGGGCCTGTTGCCTTCTGTGCCATTTCTACCCAATGCCAAATCACTGCCACTCAGGTCCCCGAGGATACAGGGCTTCCACATCAGAAGCCCAACAAAAAAGTTGTATATTTGGTCAACAGGTATACCTCATTGACCTGTATCGCCGAGATCTCAGGATCCATGCCTTTTTGCCAGGACCCTCAGCCTCAGGCCAGTGTTTCTGGTACAGTTCTGAGAAGACTCAGGCAGTGAGGGAACTGTCTCCAGGGGCTCCTTCCTTGGTGAGGCCACTCAGTGATGGGGAGGGAGGCTTGCCTTCCCTCTGGAAGCTGGTTTCCACCTGTGTGGAACCCTTCCCTGTCCTGCCTCTATCTCACTCTGTATCCTTCAGCTTTCTGGTGTGAACCACATCTTCTGGTATGAACAGAGGGTAGCAGAGGCCCTGCTCTGGCATGGAAGAGGGTGTGCTGCACAGGGCTGTGCTGCCCTGTGTTCCTACCCCCACCTTCAGCTCTTCCCATCTCATCTTGAGGGTGAGGGTGCAAGAGAGGGAGAATCAAAGTGGGAGCCTGGGGCACTTGCACCCTCGTCCTGGTTTTCTTAGTGGATCCATGCATCAGTTCTCTTTGGAAGATTGCTCATCACCAGGAGGCAGGAGGTGACAACAGGGAGGCGCCTCCCCACGTCCCTGCCTTTGCCACAGGACCAGCCCTGTGACTACGGGGGTGGGCAGGGCAGCTAGGGTCATGCTGCTCTAGGGGTACAGGAGGTGTGGCACCCTCTGCTAGCCCAGAGCAATCCAGACAGATCTAGAACAGGTCGCATCGCACCTCATAAGCTCCCCGTGTTCTCACGTTTTTCATCTCAAGGACCCCAGGTTGTCATCTCAGCTCTACATATATGACCCTTGTTGCGCAAGCTGCACTGACCAACTCGTGGCTGGAACAAGGAGTCCATTTCTACACGTGCTGATGTGTGAGAAAGCCATGAAGACAGCTGGCCTCCCAGTGGCCAGGCCCCACCTTAGGCCACAGGGCACTGGAAGCTACTTACCTCACTAGAAGCTGGGCACTTTCCCTGTGCCCTTCCCTTGCAGCCTTTCCCAGAGCGACAATGCCCATATCCACTCGCCCCTAAATTCCCACACACAGGACACTGTGCAAAGAACTATCAGGATATTATCTCAGTTGTCCCACCAGCTGCTTCCCAAGCAGAACAAGAGTAGAGTTCATGGGATTTAGAGTTAGTGGGGAAGACACTGGCCTTCAGGAAGGGTCACTGGTACAACCACCTGTATTTTATGGCTTAGAGATCCTCTGGAGTATCCCAGGCAGCAAGGGAGATGGACAGGAAATCCGTAAGGGCCAAAACACAATTTACAGCTGCTGGGCAGGCAAGGCCTACCTGCCAAGCCTAGAAGGGTGTGCTAGACTGGCCACGGAAATAGTGCGTCCATCCTAGAGGGAACAGCCACATTGCCCACCCGGAGGCGGGAAACAGAAAGCTTCAGTCAGGCCAGAATCTGCAGGAATGACACTTCCTGTCTGTAATAAATACTTGACAGGTTTCCAAGCCCTCCCACCTATCTGGGGAAGGTGTTTTTATGCCCAGCTGTCAAGTGGGAAAACTGAGGGCAGAATACCAGGCAAAAAGGGTTATGGCTGGAACCAGGAGCTGTGCTCTGCCAGTGACCTCTTCCCACCACGGGGTGGGGGCCTGTTCATGAGGCCTGACTGCCTCTGCCAACTGGCAGCCACACTCCACCAGCTGCCAGGGACCATGAGGCAATGTCCCCCTTCTGGACATGGACATGGGCTTAAACAGACCCAGGGGGAGCCCAGCAGAAGAGCCTGACACTGTCTCTCTCCAGTACGGGAGGTATCCCCTTCTCTGACAATATACTACCACCCACATTTAATTGGTTCTGATCTGGCTTGTGGGAATCTCATCCCCTCCCACAGATCACCCCAGAAATTACTTGTGGTGGTCAAGCACACCAAATTGTGCTATGGAATTGCCAGGAGCCAGCTGCCAGGGCTTGAAGCTTAGACTGCGGATGCCGGTGCAGGAGCCAGGCACAGGGGAGCTCCCACTCACTCCCGAAAGCAGGCTGGGCGGCACCTCTGGGGTGCCTCAGAGACCTAACTGAAGTCCTGCTACCTTGGGTGCTCTCCCAGCTGTGATCACAGAGGCTGGCACTAGTGCAGGAGGGAACTGACTTGGTTGGCTCTTTGAAGGCTATAGAAATTGTATGCCCCAGGGGGACATGATGGAAAATGTAATCAAGTGACTTGGTTTCTCTCTTCAAGTTGCTACTTTCCCAAGAAACTTGAAAACATATCTTAAAGGAGGAGAAAATATTGGAGCTTCCCTACCCCTGATGTCCGCTCCTCCCAGGCCCCCATCAGGAGTACAGCTCACTTTATCAGAGCTGACAGCCCTGGGGGAGAGAAGGCAGAAGGGAAGGCTACAAGCTTCCCTGTGATGAGGCAGGGAGTTGGGACCTGTGTGTTGGCAAGAGACCTGGACCAAGGCATGGCATATTCTGTGCCTCAGTTTCCCTACCTGCACAGTGATACAAGCTAACTCTAGCTCTAAAATACTACAGCTTGCTAGCTCAGCTCCCTCCAGGGAAAGGCAACTATCCCAGGGAGAGGATGACAAAGTGACACAGGAAAAGTTCACCTCCAAGGACAATTCCCAAGAACGTTCCCATTTCTCTGGGAACAGAATTTGGAGAAAGACAAGTTTAAGATGATACCACAGAAAATAATGCAAAGAGAAAGCAGACTCAACACAGGTCCCTGGCCTATTTGCGTGCAAGATGTGGGAACAGTAGAGAAAGTCCATCTCCTGGTCCCCTGTCCTTCCAATAGCAGCCTGGGAACTTCCATGTGGCTTCCCTCAATGCTGGCGGTGGAGACTGAAGCCTGGAACTGAGTTGGGGCCTGGATCCTTCCCTCTTTCCAAAGCCAACTCTCTCTTTCCCTGAACCCAAGAGAACAGCAGAGTCCAACAGGCCCCTCTGTAGAGGTGAGGTTTTTCCTCAGCAGTTTTCTCCTGCCCCCAAACAATTCTGACCCCTGCGATGTTCACATGCAAGACCTCCTGGAGCCCCAGACAGAACATGTAACTCCTTCCCATCTCAGGGACAAGCAAAGGGGCACTGGGTGGGTGGTCCACCGCAGCTTGGACCAGAGAACAAGAATGGCCCTGCCCTTCCAGCGACCATCAGATCAAAGCATCACCCGAGAGACCAGTTCTGCAGGACCTACTAAGCGACTGCTGGGACTCAGTTTCCCCAGGGCTATTATCCAAATCCAAAGTTTTCCCTCAAGGACAGGTGGGGATAGAGATAAGAATGGTCCTTGAAAAGCACAGGAGAAAAGGTGTCATCTCTGCCCCTGGGACCCAAGAACCCAGCCCATCCCACACATATGAGACCACCGCCCACAACCACCACCCCCACAACAGCAGCGCATCAGTGACGCGTCCTAACTCCTAACGGAGTAGACTGCGGGGGAAGAGTGCACACCGCCCATCCCAGGCCAGCGAGTGGGCAGCCAGCGCTCAGGGAATCCCTGGGTGGGGTGGTCCAAAGAGCAACTCCTTCCCAGCTGTCAGTAAAGCGGCTGGCTAGCCGGGGACCCCCAACGTATCTGCCCACCCATCCCTCCGCCTGCGGAGGAGGGCGACCAAATCACAGCCGCGCTGGTAAGCGGCTTATTCCACCGGCCCCCCGGTACAGGCCAGAGGATGGCCAGCGTGGCAAGGGAGTGTGTCGCAGTCTCCCCCACTCCCAACCCTCCGGGCCGAGATCGGGGAAACACAGAGCAAGCGATCCTTCCCCACCCCCTCCACAGTCCAGGACCCGGATTCTGCACCCCTTCTCCCCGCCCGATCAGTCGTAGCTCACACCACCCGCGCGTGCTCACCACATCTTGCGCTCAGCGCCACGGCCCCAGCCCCAGGCAATGCGCTCTGGCCGTCGGGGTGCGGTGACAGGCTGCGCGCTCCCTACCTGGGAGGAGACAGCTAGCCGGTCCTCCACCTCGCTAGCCTCGACTAGCCAGCCCCACCTGGCAAGGGACTGTCAGCAAATTCCCCTCCGCATCACCGCGGGAGCGGCATCCCGGCTCCTCCCCGGGAAGAGCCAGCCTTGGCCCCGCCCCAAGGCTGCTCTGACCCGCCGGGGAACCCAGGCTGGATTATCATATGCAAAGACCCAGGCTCCGCCTCAGAGACCTTGTCGCCACCAGGAACCATCTGCAAATTACCATCGCAAACGCACGAGGCTGACGGTCCCCGGCTGCCGCACCTTTTATGTTCTGGGCCTTGGCAGCTGTCTAGCGAAAAGCCCACCCTGCAGCCCTCACCCCCGCCCTAAACTCCCGTCCGAGGCTTGTCTTTCGTTGACATCTCTCCAACCTCGTCAGCCAAAGCAAGAAAAGACACACAACTACACAAAGGTAAACGGCGCTCGCCCCGCCCAGGCTCCAGATCCTGGCACCGCCCAGTGGTTGGTACACAGTTCCGCCTCCTCCTTCTCCAGCAAAGGGAAGATGTACCAGCTGGCCTTAGCCCTTCCCGGGAGGCCCATGGGAGCGAGCAGACTGAGTCATTTCCAGTTTGTCATGGGCTGCGCTCCTGCAGGTCTCCAGTTTCCCGCCTGATCTGCTAGGGACCTTGATAACCAGTTTTGAGTCTGAGGGCAGGTACCAGGGCTAAGGGACAGTGGTAACAGCTACTCTCACTCTTTCCCGACAGGGCCCGTTATCCAGGCTCCAGTACAACAGCTAAATGGGAGGACGACTGAACAGTTTCTGTAGTGACTCTCCACAGTTTTATAGCGGTAAGATACTGATAGGGTTGTTGGCAAGATGATAAGAAGGCCACACGGAGGTGGCAGGAACTCAAGGTGGGATGATGTTCTGCTTGCATGGAGGGTCCCTGCACCCCAGCCAGCAGCACAGTGCCCCCTTCAGGCGGCTACTCCCAGATCAAGTCTCCCTCTCACCCCCCTTTCCTGGTTCTTCTGGCCGAGCCACCCAAGAAAACCCAAGGTGAGCCACTAGGCATACTGTCATTCATTATCAGTGCGTTCGTGTATCCACTTATTAGTTCGTTCATGGGACAGGATGTGTTTTATGCTAGAGCGACAGGAATCAGGGGTCTGATCCCAGGGTCAGTTGTACAGGTGCTGTGTGCAGTCTTGCTTTGTGTTTTTTCCCTCTCTGCAATACTGAAAGGGCTAGACTAGTTGGGGTCTAAGGTCTCTCTGGCCCTAACATTTCTATTACTCTCTTTTGGGTAAGGATCCGCGGCAACAAAGATAAACCAAATAAATACAATAGTGAGAACTCCAGCTGCTTGTTTCAAATTACAGCTGGGCCATCTCAATAGTGAATAAACCTCTCTGCTACATTCTTTGCATATGTAAAAAGGGTCAGTTAATAGTAATAATGGCAATTGGAATGGCTGATTGTGAGATTAAATGAGATGTCGCATACAAAGTCGATGCTCAGTGTGAGTGTCCCTGTTGCTGTTGTTCAGGTACTAGTCGTGGGAGAGAATAAAACCTGGACAAAAACTCTATTTCTCTGTTTTCTTTGTACAGAACTAGTTCTGACCCCAAGGTGGAAGGAATATGGGCCAAGTGTTCCTTTAGAAAGGTGGAAAGTGGCAAGAATATGGTCATTGGATCCAGCTGCACCTTGGTGCCCATGTGGGTCCCGCCTCTCCTAGGTGTTAGCCGAGCTGTGTATGTTACTCAACCATGCTGACTTTCGTGTCTGTAAAATGAGTGCTATAATGCAAACAAAAGGTGTTCAATAGTAGTTCTACCTCATGAAGCTGCTGTATGTGTAACATGTATATAAGATGCTTAGCTCAGTTTTACACTCAAAGAAGATGCCTGTCTCTTCCTAGAAGGACCTGGATAGATGGTAGAAACACCTTAGCTCTGAAATTCCCAGGCTGAGTGGGAGCCAAAGACTGAGTGTCCACTGAGGAGACTAAGTTGTGGGTGTATAAGTTCAGGCTGAAGCCAGCTCTCCACTCCCTTCACCAAATGAATGCCAGTCTCTGAACATGTCCCCTGCTGGGATCTGAGGTCAGAATGGGAGGCTTGGCCTCCCAGAATGAGAAGCAGGTCTTGGAAGACCTCAAATACAAGGCTCGGGAATTGGGACTAGTAGGTCAAAAGGAGTCATAGAAGGTTTTGAGCAGCAGCCAACAGATAAGAGTCTGAGCCTCATCTAGCCACTCTCAGTCCTGGTGATGGGACCTGGTAGATAAGCATCAAGGATGAGCAATAAAAGGAGGTACAGGAGGAAGAAAGGAGGACCCATGGAAATGAAAGGGGGGCTATACCCTGATGAGATCACCCCAAGGTCCCAACCCACTGAAAACCAGTCACCTAGATGAGCGGGAGGCTGGTAGAGGTGCTTGGTAAAAGTGTGTGGGAATGAAAAGCTGAGTCTTTGTGGCCTTGGGAGGCTTTTGAAGGACAGTTTTGTGGGTGCTGAAAACATATTTCCTGTTTGCACTTGTGTCGATTGAGGTGGGAGATTTTAAAAGGTGAAGACCACTATTATGTCTATGACTGTTTTGTGATCCCTGCTGCCTTATTTGGGAACACAATCCAGAAGAACAACAAAGAAATAAAAGCTTCTAAGCAGCCCAACAATAGTCACACTACCAAAAATCAGGTGCTTTTTCTTCAGAACACCTGGTATCTTCAGTGAGAACCCACCTCTGTTTTATTCCACACTATTTCAACAGAGCCAGGTAATAGAGACTGCTAAGTGCCCTTCTTACAGCTTTTCCTTTGCTCTTCTGTTTAGCAGTAGAATTTTCAAGAGTGAAATTTGGATTCATGACTACCCTACTGGAGACTATATATCCCAGCCTGCCTTGCAGCCAGATGCCACAATGGAACTAAGTTCTAGCCAGTGGTACGTGAGTGGAAGTGATTTGATTAACTTCTGGGCCACATTCTTATAAGGAAGGAGTCTGCTCCATACTTTCTCTTTGCCTTTATGCAAATTTGACCTGATATGAGGCTGGGGGCAGGCAGGTTTGATGATAATGACAAGGATAATATCCTAAGGTGAGACAATGAACTTGAGTTAAGTGATGACCTGGATGAGAAGGGCCCTGGACCAGTGACTTCCATAGGGCCTTGGACTTTTCGATAGAGAGCAAGACCCTTTCTAAAGAGACACTGTGTTGTCTCTGTTAAAACAGCTGAGTCACTAGCCCAGCTGGTAAACTTAGTTTCCCAAACTCACAGCAGATAAGAACGAGCCTCAGGAAGAGAAAAGGGCCATATTAAAAACAACATGAAGCAGACTCAGAAGTTTGGGGCCATTTAGTGCAAAGTCACTTCCACAAGCTTTGAGAGCATCACTGTATTGCTGAAAAGATGCTCAGAACAATCCTGAATTGTGAAGAGGTTAATTCTGATGAAATATTTTATTTCAAAAGGAAAGTATTTTTGATGAAAAATGGTTCACATAAAACAAAGCTTGTATGCTTAAGGGCAGAAACCTTCAACAGCCAGAAAACTCAGTCATCACAATGATAGCTTTCCTCAGGGGTCAGAAAACAGATTTGGATTCTTTAATATTTGCCTTCTCTCCCACTAGATTATACATCCTTCTAAGGTCAGATCATCTCTTTTCTCTCTCTCTTTTTATTTCTAGAACCTAGCACAATGCCCTGACTCAGTAATACCAGTTAGTAACTATGAGGGTGAATTTATGCTAGATGACAGAGCTTAGCAGGGTCCCAGTTATTTGGAATACTGAGCAGTGAAATAAACACCATAAACCACCCAGGTAAAGAACTGCAGGAGGTCCATGAGTTCATTGTGACCTTGGGCCTTTGTTGTCTAGAAACCATTTCATTATAAATGCCCCTGTGCTCACAGACCTACCTATACAAGATGTTCATCGCAGAACTGGCTGTAACTCTCCACACAACATTTACATGGTGCATGGCTTTTCTCCTACTGCCTGGATGAGTTCAGGAATACTCAGAATGAGGGGGCCATCTGGGGGAGGGGGGCAGGAAAGAGTGAGTCTGACATGCTCGCTGCTTGTGTCTATTCAGCTTTCAGCAGGAGAGTGGCTCCAGTGTCTCCCCCGACCCCGACCCCCGAGACCTGGTGCTGGTTGAGACTGCCAAGTAGAGGGCTGTAAGCCTGAAGGTGGTCGGTGTGAGATGCCCAGATTTTGCTCTAGATTTCAGTCTAACTAGATGTCCTGACAGGGACTTTATCTTCAGGACGGAACCATCTTCACACCTGAAAGGATTATCCAAATACTTTAGGGCAACCCCTGCCCCCCAAGAGCCAAATCAAGACTCTCCAAGAATATGGGTCCATTCTGGGAGTTCTGGCATCTGTCCACATGCTAACCTGCTTTTCTGGACAGAAGGGTATTTGATTTCCTGTGTATGGGGTAGGGGAGCAATATCTTGGGGGTGAAAAACTACTCATCTAGTGGACTAACCCGTCAAGTTTATGGATTTTGACAGAAGACAAGACCTCAGCTTAGGTCCAGACACACACCACTGAATCCTCACTAGAAGCTGGCAATTCCCAGGTCACTGGGACTAGAGTGGAGAAGCCAGAGTCCTATAACCACCTGGCCCTCCGTGGCAGAGAATGAGCCCCAGCCCCCCACAGCTGCTGAGACACCCTGGCACCCTGCCCTCTCAGACTGGGCCCCACTCACCAGCACCCCACCAGGCAGGTACTCAGCAACAGCAGCCTCTTATGAGTACTTGTCTCCTGGAAAAGGAGAAATCCATGACTAGATTCCCTCTACCATCCTCCACCATCAACAGCCACTACTTATTATCAATATTGCAAACTCCTGTGGGCCAGGTCAGAGGCTGAGGCTGGTGACATCACAAAGGCTGTCAGCTTTGTAGTCCCGGTGTGCAGTAACTCTAGAAACATTGGAGAGGGAGGGAGTCCTCATACCGAAGTGAGCGGAGCAAGTATTTCCAGACAGATCTGGGCGTGTGAAACCTGCACAGCCATACTTCAATTCTGCCTTGAGCCGGGCTCATGCCACACAAGGTTAGGTTACTAACAAATACTTGAATCCCCATGTGGATATTTTATTGAGACTAAATTCTCCTCCCACCCCCACCCCCCACCCCCACCCCACCAAGAGGATCCTTCTGGGGTAGAGATGTAGCTTTCCTAACTGGGTTTCTTCTGGGTTGCAAAATGGTTGTCCCTCCTCATGGCCACACTCTTAAATCAGCTCCATGGTGTTCATTCTACCGAGAGTTGACATCTGTTTTCAGTAGTAAACCTTTACTTCGCTTTATAAACTTCATTAGCTTGGTGAAGTATACACATGCAGAGAAAAATATATTTAAAACATGAGTGAGCACAGTAATGAGTACTTGCAAAACAGATTCTTGTGTAACATGAGCCAGAACATCATCACCAGACATCTTCCTTTTCTTCTCTATTTTCCCCCAACACAGAGAGAATCCCACCCCGACCCTCACCGTTACTTCCTTCCTCTTGTTTGCACTTTTACCACCCCTGATCACTATAACTTGGGTCAGTCTTTTTCAAGTGGACAGTTATAGAATCTCAGTCCATATAGATATAAACTATATTTACTTCTCACTGGGCTCTTTGACTCAACATTATGCACTTAGGATTCATCAGGTTGGGGCATGTAGCTATGGTTTATTCATTGCCGGTCTTGTGTGGTGATCCAGTGTTTGACTGTACCATGAATAATTTATTCTGGTTATTCTGGTAGAAATTTGGGTTCTTTCTTATTTTTTGTTCATTAGCTTGCTTTTTTTTTTTTTTTCTTCCTGTGGACAATGCCATGATGCCTGGTGCCCACATCCTGGAGTTTCTAGAAATGAAGAGTAAAATTGTGGGGTCATACGTTGGGGGTGAGTCTCTTCAGGTTTACTACTTGATGCTAAGATGTTTCCCAAAGTAGGACTATCAAGTATCAGCTTATACCTCCACCAGCAGTGTTTGGCACTGATGAACTCTGTTACCAGGCTGGTGGGGTTTAGCAGTGTCTTGTGGTTTTGATATGCATTTCACAAATAATTAATGAGGTGAGGCACATGGTCATAAATTTGTTGGAGAACCTTTTTCAGAGGTAACTGTTCAGGTATTTCATTCATTTTTTAAAATTGGGCTTTCTTTTTTCTAATTGAAGGGTATTATAGAGTTTTTGTCCATTGTAGTTGTTCTAGTCATCTGTCCCTGTTTTACGATGACCTTTTCAGTCTCTACACAGTGGTCTCAGATGATCAAGGGTCTTTCATTTTAATTTCGTCAAGTTGATCTTTTTTTTGAAAGTTAACCTTCTTTGTATCACATTTTTAAAATTATTTCCCTGCCCTGAGGATGTGTGAAGATCTTCTCCTGTGCTATCTTTTAAACGTTTAAGGTCTTTTCTGTTTTAAGTCTAAAATCTACCTGGAGGGATGTCAGTGAAAGCAAAAGAGGAAGTAATTCCAAAAGTCTGCTGCCCCCTGCACAAAAGCAACAAAAAAGTCGTCAGAAACTGGCAAGTCAAATGTTTTAGATTTCTGGAAATTAACCATAAGCTTGAAGCCACCAGAGGACTGTTTAATCAAGAAAAAGCAGCTTTATGGTATTTTAAAATAGACTATTTTTTTAGAGCAGTTTTAGGTTCATAGCAGAACTAGCAGAAGGCACAGAGAGTTCCATACACCACCTGCCCTCACACAGGCACAGCCTCCCCTTTGTCAGAATCCTGCATCGGAGTGATCCACTTGTTAAACTGGTGAACCTACATTAACACACCATTATCGCTCAAAGTCCCATTAGAGTTCATGCTTTGTATTGTGCATTCTGCAGGTTTTGACAAATGTATAATGACATATACCCGCATTATAGTATCCTGCTGAGCAGTGAAAGCCCTAAAAATGCCCTGTGCTCTGCCTATTCATCTTTTCTCCCCCTACGCCTGGCAATCAGTGATTCTTTTCTGGTATCCATAATTTCCCATTTTCCAGAATGTCATATAGTTGGAATTGTATAGCAGATGGCTATTTCAGATTGCTTCTTTCACTTAGAAATATACATTTTAGGGCCCTCCCTGGTGGCACAGCGGATTAAAGCACAGCACTAGGAAGCTCAAGCCCCTTCAGCATGAGTTGGATCCCCACCCAGGAGGTGACCCACATGACGCAGCAGACCTCTCCTGGCCCACCCACTGCTCCCCTCAGCAGTGTACTTTGTCAACCAGCCTGTTCTGTTCCCCACTGTCTCTGGTGAATCCTCTCACCACCCCTGCACCTCAGGCTGTACCCCAGCTCTGTATGCATAAATAAATAAATAAATAAATCTTAAAGAAAAAAGAAATATGCATTTTGGTTCCCACTGTCTCTGGTGAATCCTCTCACCACCCCTGCACCTCAGGCTGTACCCCAGCTCTGTATGCATAAATAAATAAATAAATAAATAAATAAATCTTAAAGAAAAAAGAAATATGCATTTTGGTTCCCTCAATATCTTTTCACAACATGATAGCTCATTTCTTTTTAGTGCTGAATAGCATTCTGTTGTCTGGATGTAGCTCAGTATATGCATTCACCCATTGAAGAACGTCTTGGTTGCTTCCAGGAATTGGCAAGCTATAAATAAAGCTTCTATCAATATTTGTATGCAAACTTTTGTGTGGACATTAAGTTTTTGGCTCATTTGGTTCAATAGCAAAGAGGGCAAATTCTACATTGTGTGATAACAGTATGTTCCATTTTGAGAAATGGAGAAAACTGTCTCCCTGTCTGCTATGAAGGTTGCATCCACACCAGCTAGGAATGGGAGTTACTGTTGTGCCACGCCCTTGTCAGCCTTTGATATTTGTCATGTTCTGGGTTTTAATCACTTTCATTAATTTGTTGTAGTACCTCCTTGCTGTTTTAATTTACAATCCCCTAATGACATAGATTGCTGAGCATCTGTTCACTGGTCTATTTACTATCTGTATATCTTCTTTTGGTGAGGTGTCTGCTGAGGTCCTTTGTCCATTCATCCTCCATCCAATCCCCTCTACCTGTTCTATCCACCTTCACCTCTGGTGAACACCATTCCATTGCTGGACCGAAGGCTTTCTGTTTGTTTGCTTTGTTTCTTTATAGTCCTTAAGGAAGTAAAATCACAAGGTGTTTACCTTTCTCCTTCTGTCTGTCTAATCCCTCAGTGTCCATCCACGCAGTCACATGTAACAAGGAGTTACAGGAGTACTTGCCTGTGGTGTAGCCGTACCAGGTCTCTTTAGCTAGCCCTGTCATTGGGCCTTTGGTTGTTCCCATATCTTGGCTGTTGTGAATAGGGCTGCGATGAATTTAGGAGTGCATGTATCCTTTCAAATTAGCATTTTTGAGTTGTGGATAAATACGCAGAAGTGGAGTTAATGGATCATATGGTAGTTCTATTTTTAATTTTTTTTTTAAAGATTTATTTATTTGTGCATACAGAACTGGGGTACAGGCCAGAGGCTCAGAGAGGGTGAGAGGATTCATCACACACAGAGCGGGGAGCAGAACAAGCAGATAGAGGAAGTACACTGCTGAGGGGAGCAGCGGGCGGGTCAGGAGAGGTCTGTCACGCCATGTGGTCACCTCCGGGGCAGGCGGGAATCGAACTCATGAGGAAGTGGCTTTCGCTTCTCAGTGCTGTGCTTTAACCCACTGCGCCATCAGGGAGGGCCTATTTTTAATTTTTTGAGGAACCTCCATAATGTTTTCCATAGCGGCTGCACCAGTTACAGCCTCACAACAGTGCACAGTGGCTCCTTCTCTACATCCTTGCCAACACTTACTGTTTCTTGACTTTTTGATAACAGCCATTTTGACTGGAGTGAGGTGAACTCTCATCGTGGCTTTGATTTGTATTACTTTAATGATAAGCAACATAAAACATCTTTTCATCTTCTTTGGGACATCTTTTTTGGTGAAATGCTTATTTAGATCCTCTGTGCATCACTCCATCAGGTTGTATGTTTTATTGTTGAGCTGTATCAGTTGTTCACATATTTTGGATACTGACTCCTTGTCCCATACATGGTTTGCAATGTCATCTCCCACTCGGTAGGCTGCCTTTTTGTTTTAATGATGGTTTCTTTTGATAGGCACAGCTTTATTTTGTTGTTTTTTTTTTTTTAGTTTTATGTAGTCTCATTTGCTTATTTTTGTTTTTGTTGGAATCAAGACCCCAAACACATCACTAAGATCAATGGCATAGAGTGTATTGTCTATATTTGCTTCTATTTATTTTAATGCTTTAGTCCTTATATCTAAGTCTTCAATCTACTTTGAACTAATTTTTATGCAACCATGTAGTTTCTTTCTTTTGCATGTGGTTGTTTGGTTTTCACAACACATTTGTTGAGGAGACTTGACTGGTTCCATTGTTTGCTTTTGACTCCTTTGTTGAAAATTAGTTGGCTATACACCTAAGACCTATATAATATTACAAGACAATGTTATGTCAATAAAATATTTCAAATACTTTGACAATTTAACCAAAAACAAAGACAACCCAATGTGGCTAACTCTGCAGGACCTCAAGTGCACCTGTCCACCCTGGCTAATGTGCTAATGGGTGAGCACACTCCCCAGTGAGGCCAACAAACAAGTCAGCAGAGCACAGTGCACTCTGTCCTGCAAACAGCTGCAGCCACTACCTTGTTTCAAGTAGAAGCTACAAGAAGTCCCAGGCCCTGTAAAAACATGCACCCCACTCCCTGTGAGGGGCACATTTCCTGTTTTTCCCTTGCACGAACAGACCCTATATATACCCATGGGTGGTCCTAATAAACAGACTCTGGACTCCAGACCCCAGGCTCCTGCTTTGTTCTCTCCGGCCTCGGTCTCTGAGTCTCCTGCTTTCGGGAACATTGGGATCAGCGCACCCCTCGGTTTGTTTAGGGAATGTTGTGATGGGTTTGCAACAACCCAATTTTTAAAATATCAGCAAAGGATTTAAGTAGATAGCTTTCCAAAGAAGAAGGTGGACCACAAATATATGAAAAGCTGCTCAACATCATTAGTCATTAGGGAAAAGCAAATCAAAATCACGTTGTGAAGCCACCTTATACCCTCTAGGATGAGTGCAGCATTAACAAGTAGTGCTGAGAACAAGGGGAAAATTAGAGATGTCATACATTGCTGTAGGGGATGTAAAACGCCACAACTCTGTGCAAAGCAGTTTGGCTTTCCTCAGCTTTGCATTTAGAATTAACTTGCCACATTCTGAAAACAAGTCTGGTAATACTTTGACTCCAATTGAATCAAACCTATGCAAAATTTTGGAATGGATATCTTTAAATTACCCCAATATATGGTACATTTCCAAATCACACCAAGAGAATAGTATAATTTTATAATCTGCCCTACAGAGGCCTTATACATTAAAAAAAAAATTTATTTCCAACTTCTGATATTTGCTTGTTTGTTTGTTTTTTTAAGATTTATTTATTTATTCATACAGAACTGGGGTACAGGCCAGAGATGTGGAGGGTGATAGGATTCACCAG